AACCCACCAAACCGGAGAATAGCCTATTTTTTAAATGAAGTCACAGCCTTCCTTTGGAGCAGAGATGGGTCCCTGTTCCCTAGGAGGGGGAGGGGGCGAGGGGGAGGCAGGAGGGGCAGCAAAGCGAGGCATTTGCACTAAGTGATCACATTTATTTGAATATTTTTTTTGTGTTCTAAAATTGGTTACAGAATAAATACCTGTGCCTTATAGCAGGAAGTCCACTTTTTTTTTTTATACAAAGTGCTTGTTACAGGAAGTTGCATCAGCGATACACGGGAAGGGGCGTGTGCAACTTGGCGACGCTTCCCCCCCCCCGGAAACTAAAACAGAAATATTTTTTCTTATTTATTCTTTTTTTTTTTTTAAAGTTTTCTTTTCCCTTTTTTTTTGTTTTTGTTTGTTTGTGCATTAAATCTCCTGCCATTGTGTATTTACAAATCTCCGAAAGAAGGAAAAAAAAATGCCAGGATGCATGATAAGTGGCCTTTCCACACACACACAAAAAAAAGATAAGTCTTGTTTTAAAAAAAAACAAACCCAAAAATCTACAAGTATCGTTTCTTACTGAATCAATGATAGAATTTTTTTTTTTTAAAAGGGAAGGAAAAAATAAAAATTAACCAAACCAAAAAGGACCCACAGACACTGAAATAGAAAAGGAGCCACCATCCCTCTAAGTTTTCCAAACCAGAAAAAGTAGTAAGTACGTGTGAAATTCGAAACCAGATGTCTGATTGAAAAACCTCATTCATTTCTTCTCGTTAATTTCGTCCTCATCTTTTTCCAGCGAAGGGAGGAATTTTGAAAAAATTAAATTAAAAACCAATATTAAAAAAAGAGAGAGATGAGAGAAAAGAGCCTCCCAAATTCCGCAGAGGTGGGAAGGAAGAAAATTGGGTGCGATTTAAAAAGAAAGCAAGAAAACTGGATTTTTATCTCCGACTGTGTAATTAACAACACTCTATGGGGAGTCTGATGGTTAACTGGTGACGTAGTGTTTGGTGGAAGGCTGGCCGTAGACTCTATAGAAATCCTGCCGCCCGTGCTGCTGGGATGCGTCAATCCATTCCCTCACGGCAAGTCCGGGAAGCGACTGAGGTACAGCCGGAGCAGGGGGAAGCGGGTGAGAGTACTCCTGCGAAGCGACTGTCCAGGGGAAGTGACCCGACCTGGGGTACGGCTGGTGCCCGCTGTGATTGGACACCGAGGAACAGTAACAGTTATCCACTGAGCACACCAGGATTTTGCGCCCGCCATACTGGGATAGCACAGACTGCTGAGATGACGTGCTATTGGGATAGTGAGACGGGTTGAAGACCGAACCAGAGTGGACTGGCTGCGGGCCACTGGGCAGTCCGACAATGTGCTGCGTGGAGCTACAAGGCACCATGGGTTGTGCGGACTGGCCCTCGCCAGCGGAAGCCCCCTGGCTCATATACTGGCTAGCCACAGTCCCGGACGATGGCTCTAGAAAGCTGCCTTCGGGGAAGGCCGCGGAGTGCTTGCGTTTCTCCGCTCCGGAGTTGCTGACGCTAGGGCACGGGTACATGGGGATGCTCTGTAGGAATGGGACCGGGGTGCTGAAGGGACCTGGATGGGGAGAGAGAAAAGACAAACAGCCAGATCAGAAACCACCGCTGGAATTCAGGAGCCAGAGGGGAAAACTAACAAGACCAGAGGCGCCAACTCCGTGGCTGGAGCATGCAAGATTAAAAAAAAAAAAAAGGGGGGGGGGGGGCTCAGCACACACCAGCCACCCACCAATCACCTGTTTGGCAGGCCCTGCTGATCAGCTCCTCCCCCTCAGCACCGCCCACCTGCCGCCAATCAGCTGTTTGGGGGGCCCCACTGATTGGCTCCTCCCCCTCCCCCCAGTGCCTCCCACCCGCCGCCAATCAGCTGTTCAGCAGCGGGCAGGAGGCGCTGAGGAGGAGGGGGACGAGCCGGGGTGGGAGGAGGCAGGGCGGGGCTGTAGCTGTGGGGAAGGGGGCACAGTGCCTCCTAGGGCATTGGTGCGGTACTGACTTGGAAGAGAGAGCACCCCCTACTGAATCACAATTAGCTCTTCTGGCAGCATCTAATAGCCCTTGGTGGTCTCCCAACCAATTCTAGCCTGGCCCATCGCCAGTGGGTGATGCTTTACACACGGCACCACTGGCATGCAACTGCTTCTGGGGTGGAGGCAAGCGGCCAGGCAGATCAGTTAACATTCAGCAACAAAGCAGAGAGGAGATTTTGGCCCAGGACACGTGGGCAAACTGCAGCTTCCAGGAAACACTCCAGGGGATCTTAGCTGTTCCCCATGCTGAGCCTTGGATTTGCAGGTCTCACCCAACCAAGACGCTGTCAGGAACTTGGCTTTGGAAGGATGAGCCAATCCAGCTAGACTGGGGCCTCCCGTTCCCAGCAGTCTAGGCAAAATTGAGGCTGGGACCAATAAAGCATCAAGGCCTTTGGGGGAGACCTACCAGGCCATCCTGTCTCCCACCCGAAGCTAGTGGGAAGAGGCAACCCCCACCCCATCTGCTCTCCTGAGCCAGCCCACTAGGAACTGCGGATCCTATCGGTGCCAGTCCCTCCCTGTGGGCAGGAGCTCTCCATCCTGCACAGACCGCGGTGGCCCCCTCTGGGAAGCAGCCAACAGCCCAGCGAGCGGGGCGGCTGCAGAAACGATCCAAGAGGCAGGCGCTGACGTTCCCGCTGTCCCTTCTCCCTGCAGACTGCAGCCCTGCCATGCTTCAGAGAGGGCGGGCACTGGAATCGGACCCACCGATCACCGCACTCGTCCAGAGGGAGGGAGCTGGAGTCTGCCCCCTCGGGCAACCATCCAAAGAGAAGGGATGGAATTTGCCCCCTGCACCGAGGCGATGGCCCACAGGGAAGGAGGAGCTGGAAGCTGGTTTCAGAGCCGTGGTCAAAGCTGTAATTACAAGGCCATGGTCTGGTTCCAGCCCTCCCGAAGCCCGTTCCCAGCCCCGGAGCTGCATTGATGTCGGCCAGCGTACAAGGCGAACCCCGGCTGGGTCTCTTGGAAATGCAGGGCTCCATACACCAGCCAAACATGACCTCACCCTCCTTGCTGAGCTAGGGACGCTCTGCATTAGTAGTGCAGCCATTTGGCAGGGCCTAGGAGCAAGAGGAGGCAGTGGGGGAGGGCGGGCAAGAACCACAGAGCCTGGAGAAGCCAGATCTGGGGCTAGCGCAGTCACCCCAGCGTGTGAAGCACACTCTGAAGTCCCAGGCCGTGATTTCAGGAGCCCCTGCCCGGTGGCGATGCTAGCCACCACGGGCTGTTAATTATCCTGGGAACTACAGGGAGCCATGTGGTTTGTCTGTGTCCGGCAGCCTCAATACAGAATCCCATCTACATCCGTTAGAGAGGATTTCTGCCTCCTCTTTATCTAAAGGGGCAGAACAGCAGACATTCAGAGTAACACCATTGATTCCAGAGCCATTTGCAGGAGAAAAATCGGACTCAGATTTCTACCTTGTACAGGGCGCCAAGTTCTAGCTGCCCGCGCAGACCTGCAGGCCTCTTGCTAACAAAGAGGCAGAGTTATGTCTGCTGACTCACCTCGGCAGCCAGATCAGGTGGGCCCTATTAGCTCCAACCCAGGGCTATGAAAGGAGACAAAGGGAACTCAGGACAGGGATAAAAGGGTCCTGCAGGGACAAACTCTAAGGACAGCCAGTTGAGGTTTCTTTTGCTGTTATTTAAGTTAATGCTAAAGGCAAATGGCAGGAAGGTGCCCAGATACTATGGTGATGGGAACCAGAGATAGACAGAGGTAAATTTAGCCCAGATCCTGTGTGTGTTCTGTGATTGGAACAGGGTGGGAAAGTCACCTGCCTGCATAACCATTTTCTGTCACTACTTTGGGAGAGCTGGGAGAGTAATTAAAAAGACTAGCATCTATTTAAAAGAATTCACGCCAGTCCCCTTTTGTCTTGGCTGCCGAGCCTGAAATTCACTCGGGCACAGGCACAGCGGTTGTGTGTGGGCCCTTGGCATGGAGTTAGGGGGGAGGGATAGCTCCGTGGTTTGAGCATTGGCCTGCTAAACCCAAGGTTGTGAGTTCAATCCTTGAGGGAGCCACTTGGGGATCTGGGGCAAAAATCAGTACTTGGTCCTGCTAGTGAAGGCAGGGGGCTGGACTCGATGACCTTTCAAGGTCCCTTCCAGTTCTAGGAGATGGGATATCTCTATTAATTATTATTATATTATTAGTCGTGCCGCCTCTTTTGATGGCTAAACCTGCTCGGCCATCAGGGGGCGCCTGGGGAAGCTGGTACAGCCAGCAGCCGTGCACAGCATTTCAGGACAGGAAGTCGCCCGTGAGCCGCTCTCATCACCACTGCCCAATCCTCCATCCTCCCACATGCCTTCCCGCCAGACCCTGTTCATTGTCCTGCGTGCTGGGTTAACTCGACATGAGCCTGGAAGATTCTTGGGCCAGGTGAAGCCCCAGACGTGCCCATGGCACCGTATGGACACAACAAACGACACCACAACCAATGGAAATGGCATGTAGGGAAGCAGAATGCAGTTCTCCAACTGGGCCAGAGCACCGACGCTATCGTCTGTCCTGGGAAAAGGGCCCAGGGATCCTTAGTGATTGCTTAAACCAGAACTCTCTCATCCCAGTGATCCAGATCATAGTCCCAGGACAACCTGCGCTGGAGACTAGTTCTGCAAGTTGCCTGGTGGACGTAGCAGCCCCAGGGAAGGGCAGCAGAGCGGCAGGGGATGGTTCCTGGTGGGTCTGCCGTCCTTGCAGACACACAAAATACAGAGGGCCGTTTCCTGCATGTAAACCCCCTTCACGCACAAAGGGCCGGACCCTGATCATGGTCACCCCGGCATCAATCCGGAGCAAAGCCACTGGAGTCCCTGTGGCTTTACTGCAGCGATGCAGAGATCAGAGGTCACGAAGGGGTTCTGGGCTGATTTAAACCATCGTGCAATTAACGCACAAGCACTGGTGCATTCAATCCCCTGCACATTTTTAGCCTGGGGAGCTGCCCTGTTTCCTTTGGTAACCCTGGACATGCAGAGCGATGGTTTGTCAGCACCATGCTGCAAAGAGCAGATGGACTCCAGCCCTGGGCTAACCCTGCTGACCTCAGAGCAATGACACCGGGGTGGGGTGGGGGGAGGGGAGATCCGGCTTCCTCTCTCCCCGGATGCCACCGGCCTCTCGATCTCAGGGCGCAGAGCGCTGCGTGACAAGGCCAATGGTTCAGAGGGACGCCTCACCTTCCAGAAGCTTCCTCAACTGCTTCTCCTTCTTGGCGATCTCGTTCAGGAAGAGCTTGGAGTTGAGGTGGCCGATCTTGGGAGGCGGCAGGCTGCCACCCGTGCAGTTCTGGGTCCTTTATGAACCGGCAAGGAAAGCAAAAGGACTCATGAAAAGCGTCGAGCTTCCCCTCCGCTCCCCACGCTCTGCCCGGCTCCGATCTCTCCCCAAGCCTTTCCCAGAGGCTGACAGCTGCGGAACGTCTGCAATTAGCGCCGTTTCAGCCAGGGACGGAAAGGCCTTTCCATCAGCCAGTCCTCTCCTGGGCGCCATTTCCCGGGGCTTTGGCCAGCCTAGTTTTAAAAGGGCCCCGTGGTGCGAATCCCCCAACCCCATGCGCTATTTCCCTTAGGAGACGCCCCCGTAGCTGGACGTGGCACAGGCAAGAAGTCGCTCCTGATATCCAGCCTGCGTTTCCTTTCCATTCAGCCCGTTAGCCCCAGTTAGATCCTGGGTACCATCCAACACTGGCCCCCTCCCTTCTGGGGGTCTTATGCCCTGTGATCACGGCCCCCCATTCCCAGCTCTTTTAATCTCTCCTCCCAAATCAGTCCGTGGCTCTCCTCGGAGCTGCCCTTGGGCAGGAGGCGAATGTATCTGTTAGGGCCCTTCCCAGGCCTGGCCATGTCACAACTAGGGCATGGACTTCCTCCGAGTGCCCTGTGTGCATCTCTGCGGCCAGCAAGTAGGCAAGGACCATGCTGGCGAGACCAAGAGGTGCACCCTGCAGGGGTGGCGACCGCGAGTCCTCGCAGTGCCGGTCGTTAGGCCCAGGAATGGATCCACTGAGCAAACAGGGCCACGTCTTGCACTCGCTCCCTTCTGATGAGGGTTCGCTCTTCTGGGAGAGCGTGTGACTTTTCTCCCCACCTTCCTTCCCACCCCAGATAACGGCTTTGGATCATACAACCACCATGCTTTCTAGTTCTACAGCGCTTCTCCTCTGAAGATCTCAAAGCACTCTACACATGGCAACGACTCAAACCTCCCAAACCCCTGGGGGATACATTCTTAGCTCCATTTTTCAGAGGAGGGAAACTAAGGCACAAGGCAGGGAAGTGACTTGCCCAACATCACTCAGTGAGAGACGGGCCTAGAAGCCAGGTCACGCGAGGCCTAGCCCTGTGTCTAAGCCACGCTCCGTAGCCCTGCAACACAGCCTGACAACGCCTCCGATCCCACCCTTGCTTGAGAACCTGAGTTGCCAAGAGACTGGCTTCTTACCTGTCCATTAAGATTTTCACGGACTTGGTATTCTACAAGGGAAAGGAGAAACCCCGGTCAGTGACTGCTGTGTATCGTCTCAGCTGTGTCCCGATGCACCTCTCCCAGGACCTGCAGCACCCCTGCCCCATGCGCTCCAGGCCTGGCTCTCTCCTGAGCAGAGATCATGCCAAACTGCCGCGGGGGGCGTGAGATGCGGAGAAGTCACCCGCCAGGGGCTGGGATAGGACAGAGTCACCTGGCGCCGGTGTTACAGTTCAGGAGGAGACTCTCCAGGGATGAACGGCTAACGCAGCACTGCCCCGTCGTGCCCACCCTCCAGCTAGCTTCACCGCCACTCTCCAAAACAGCAGCCTTCAGATTCACCTCTGGGAAGGGATCTGGGGCCCTGGCCTTTCCCACTGGCTGTGTTTGCAACTGGCCCCAGCGCTCCCCTCTAGCAGGGTGTAAATTCCTGCTCATCAGCTGGATTCGGCCAGAGATTTTCCCAGTTTCCTTTAAAGCCTCTTTCCTAAGGAAGCCAGCACAGGCGGCAGGAGCTCAGGGGTTGATCATCCGCCTTAAAGGAGCAGAGCTGTCTGGGGCCTGCGAGCAGGCGATTACCACCAGAGGAGGGTGAGGTGAGATACTGGCCCAGCCACTTCCCCACCCCAGCTTCGAGGCCGGGAAGGGCCCCTTGATCAGTCGGAATCCACCCGGGGAGCAAGGTGAGGCAGAGGGATCGAGCCGTTTCGTGCACCAGCTCAATTGGGGTTTGGGTGGGAGGCCCTAAAACCCACCCAGGCACAGGAAGGTGGGAGATCCCGAGGGT